TGAATGTTTTCAAATTCAAAGCACCCAAAAACCAGTGAGCAATTGGTATATTGATTGGGATGTAAAGCTACAAAAAAGGTTAGAAATAAATAAACATCAAAAATATTATAATACATACATAGTTAGGTAATGTAATCCAAACACAATTATACCAGATCACAGTCTGCGCAAGCTGGGTACACGGTTCCGTCAGTCATGTCACTCTAGTCAAATGTATCAATGTTGAAAGTTGACGGTACAACCGTCCACCGAGCTTCATCCTTTCTACGTTCTATCAGCAATGAGATCCACAATGTAGCTTCCCAAAAATCAAGGATAAATTTTCATTTTAAAAACCATCCCAAAATCCATATGTTTTAAAAAAAAGTCCCAAAAAATCATTATCATGAATCAGAGTTTCCCAAAATCAACAAGACACATAAAATCCTAGATGGTGTGCACGATCAAGCCTTCGCCTTTCCCTTGTCCTTTGAAATACCTAAAATAATAAAATCAAACTGTAAACAAAAGATTAATGATTTCCCCCAAAATACCACCATACAACATATAACAACATGCATACTGGGTCCACAACCATCGGACTGGATTACCCCTGAGCCCACAACACAAGTCTGGTTTGCCCACCTAGCCCACAGCTAATGTCTGGATTGCTCCTGACCCCACAACATAAGTCTGGCTTGCCTTTCCGACCCACAACTTATGTCTGGCTTGCTCCTAGGTTTGTTGGCTTCCGCACAAAGCAGTATTGCCTCAACCCGACCTCACTATGTCGATATATGAAATAGATACAACACATAACAGCAAATAGGTAGTCAAGCAGATTTAACAGATTACTACAACATATCAACATCCTATACTAGGATACATAACCTAGTGGGCCAATATTGGTGCCTTCGACCCACAAGTACAGTGAGGAGAAACTCAGACCACAGTCTTAAAAATAGAAGAACATATCACTGCTCCAAACACTGCCCCTACAGATCACCAATACAAATAATAGAGACCCAAATCTCAAACTACTATTCAAATTACCCAAAAATGCCCTTAAGTCAAACTTGGTCAAGTCCATGGTCAAAAAGTCAAAGTCAAAAAGGCAAGGAGTCAACACAAGCAGAGTACGTCCTGCGTACTCTAATTATATGCCCATCGTAGAGGGTGCCTTCTATATTACGGGCCCTCCATTCAGTATGTGTTGCATACTCATACGGTACGCCGAACGTACTCGGTCAGCTCCCATTTTTCCATTAAGTGCTTATTCCCTTAAGTCTTTCTGTCTAAAACTCAGATTCAGTCCATAAATAACCTCTTTAATCATAAAGTTTCCAACTTTATGACTTTCCATGGCTAGGAAGTGGTCAAAATCCAAACCCTAACTTACTACCCAAAACCAAAGCTTCATAACTCTTGCATGGATGGGAGAAAGAGACCATGATCACATTTTTGTGACTACAAACACACAAAAACGTCTGCATAGACAACTCATTTGGTCTAGAGGGAGCCAAAATCATATATACCAATATTATGGGACCAAAAGGCACATAAACTCAAGATCTAGCAAGATCTAATGAAGTATTCATCAAGTTCAGAAGTTTATACCTTGTGAAGGTTGTTAGAGGGATGAAAGTTCCAGATCCACAAAGCTTGATGCTCCTAAAATGATCTACAATGGACTCCTTCATTCAAGGATGAACACAAAATAGTCAAAACAACTAAAAAACTATCAAATGGAGATTAGGGTTTGCAAAGTATCGAATGAGGGAATGGAGGCTGAAAGTGGGAGGGTATCAAGGCAGATAATGACATCATATAAGGCTCAAACCCAAAAAATTTGGGTTTGCTCACTTGGCGAGTATGCCTTACGTACCCATGAGTACGCCCAACGTACTCTCTCATGCATCTGCGATCCTTTTAATGAATTACGCCATGTGTACACCCCAAGTACGCATGATGTAAGGACTATTTTTGGAAGAACTTTTATATTTTAGACAATAATGGAAATACCTTATTGGCTAGGTGATATGTGCATATCTATACATATAATTTTATAACATATCTTAATATTTTAATTAATTTTATGCCCTTATTAGAAAAAAAAGATACTTAATTTGCTATGAATCATGTTGTAGGGACCAAAAGACAAGCTTGGAGCAAAAAGGAAGCTGGAAGCTGGATGTTGGATGCTAGAAGTTGGGAGTTTGAACCAAGGCTCTAAAATGAAGAAAAATATGTCCAACATGTTGTGGTGAATTCCCCACGGCGTGGTGACTTGAAGATTCCCGATCAACTTCTAAGACTTATGGAACACGGGATAAACACAATGACCACGGCGTGGTGGACTTACCACGACGTGGTGCTTTAATTTCGGGAAAAGTATAAATAGATCACCTTAACCTCCGAATTGGAACTTTTGGCTCTGGAGAATTCGACACTTTTGAAGGCAATACACTGGTTTTAAGGCTTGGAAGAAAGAATTTCATTCACAACCTTGGAAGGAGGAGCATTAAGGAAACCAAATTCTACACTTCGATTTTTCATTAGATTTTGCTATGTCAAATACCTTGAATTTCGTTTTTGTGATTTTGTTTGCTGAAATCATGAGCTAAATACTCATGACTTTCGTTTAGCCTACGATGAATTAAGTATTTGTGGTTGATTTTATGGTTTGGATTTAGATATTTGGTTATTTGTTAGTTTAGATTATTAAAGAACCTCAAGTACATTTGATAACTATTTTCTCTACTTATTGCTGAATTTGATTAAGTTAGTATGACCATCTTCCTTAGTTAAATTTGAATCTTATGATCTTGTGAATTGCAAAATTGTAGGACTAGAGTTTTGAACAAAACCTAGGGTTAAGTAGAAAAGTGGGTAAAAAGGTATAGGAGCTAATATATGACGACAAATCATGTATTAAATTGAATCAATAAACTAAATTGGTCAATTAATTATAAGTCTAATCAATTCCAAGTGAACACTAGTGAACTTGTAAGTTTGTCCGCTTGATCACCGAATAAATAAACTAGTTTGCTAAAGGATTAAATTAGTGAATACTAATTTGGTCATCTTAGGAATCGGTAACTAAAGAAACTAAATCCATTGCACTTCCATAAATCAACCATAATAACAAATAAATCCAAAGCTACACGAAAGTCTCTTACTTACCTTGGTTAATTCATACTTGTTAATTTGCTTTAGTTAGTTTTAGCTTAATTAAGTGATAATTAGTTAGTTTGATAATTGAAGTATCTAGTCTTGCAAAACTAGAAAACCAAAACCTTTTCTAATTTAATTAGTATTTAGTTAATAGTAGAATAAAGTTAGTTAAAACACCGTTCCTTAAGTTCGACCGTCGTTGTTACCATAGCTATACTATTGCACGATTAGGTACACTGCCTAGTGTGTTTAATAGTCTAGTGAAGGAAATAGCTTTTATAAAATTAAAACTTGAATAAAAATATAAACACATTAAATACACATCAAGTTTTTGGCGCCGTTGCCGGGGAACAGTTCAAATAGTTAATTTTATTTGCTAATTGTTATCATTTTTAATTTATTGATTTCTTTTAATATTTAGTTTAATTTTAATTTTAATTTTTATTTATTATGTATTTTCCAAATCTCGATGCTCTTGATGCTTTTCTTGAGGAAGTAGTACAGGAAATTGAGCAAGAAGATGAGGAGTATGACTCAGATGATGATTTGAAGAAATTTGGAAGATGGTTAGATAACATCTTGCCTAATAAATAAGAGCAATCTGAGTTACAAGAGCTAGATTTACAAGATGAAGAATTTAATCCAGAAAGAGACTTGGAGGAGCTGGAAAGATTGCTGGCAGAGGGGCCAGACGAAGAACAAGAACAAGCTGAGTTACAGGAACCAAGCCGTGGTTTGACCATTACCACGACGTGGCCTCCTATTTTCCCAGATTGTGTTTCGAAGCATGGGGTGACAATTCCAAATTTGGAGAAAGTTCTAAAGCGCGATCCATTTCTGATTAGTATCCAACCGGTTCTAACCCTTGTCAAGATTCTTGGGTTACATGAATTAAAGCTCGTTTGGCCAATTTTTGAAGCAAAGAGCCAAATTTTACAAATTTGTCCAAAGAAAATATTCAATGCAACAGATGGATTGGCATTGAGTTTATTGGAAGTTTATTAAGTCGAGAGTCCAGCTCAAGACTCGCACAAAACGAAGTGCTTGCGGGAGGCAACCCGCCATTAGAGTTTGCTTTTCTTTCCTTTCCTTTTCTTTTCTTTTATTTGTTTTTGCTTTGTTTAGGTTTTATTCTCTCATTCTTCCGATTCGCTGTGAATTCGAAGTGGGGTATGGCATAAAACGAGTGTGGGGTGGATAACTTTAAGAGGTTGATAAATAAAATTGATTTTTAACTCACCATGACGTGGTAAAAACCACCACGACGTGCTCATCTGGCAAAACACGTTCTGTCGAACTTTTATAACTCACCACGGCGTGGTGATTCTACCATCTCGTGGTATCGGAAATAACTGCAGTCAATTTAGGATTTTTAAACCTAAGTCAAACTAATTTCACATTTTACTTCCCCCCTTTTCTCTCGTCGTGATAGCTACCTCACGAAGAACTCCATCTTTTTTCCTTCGATTTTTTTTTGCATTTCTTCACTAAAAGGTATGATTTTCTAGTGATTTCTTTACTCTTAATCGTTTATTATGTTAGTAAAGGGCATATATTTACTGATTAGAACACACCTAGGGTTCCGATTTTTGCAAAAATCAGACTCAATTTTGGTTGTTTTACGCTTTTATTTTGTTACCGTTTTACTCTATATTATGCCTAGAACAAACCCTGAACTTGTATTGAGTTGAAATGGTGTGAAATTTGAACCGATTTTAACTAGGTATCGCGACTGTATGTTGACCATGACGACTCGTCGTGGTGTTTTTTTTGGGCGTTTTCTGTTATGTTTTTATTGTAACAATGCACATGGTTTCTTGTGTGTTCTTTGTGGTTATTTTGCAGACATGGCCAGCCGTGCTAGACGCAACCAACCTGGGAGTCGCCCCGACTTCCCGTGGTATTCTTTTCCCAGAAATGTTGGATCCGAGATTTACACAAGATGGAATGCAAAGCTTGATTGGCTAAAGCAACGAAAAGTTCATGTTCCTGCATTGGTAGACTGGTATTGGATGAGTGAAACAGGGTTAATGGAAGCCATTGAACCTTATCTTGAAAAGGTTTTTAATGGCATTCATGGCCAATTTATGTGCTTGGGGTGGAGACGTCTTTCAAAATTTAAGAGGTCGTCTACAAAGAATTGGTTATTGAGTTTCTAGCAACAGTTTCTTTTGCACGGAAAGTTGGGATTTATGCTGATGATAACCTCACATTTTGTCTGGGTGGTGAGAGGCATACGCTTAGCCACGCTGATTTTGTGCTGCGGACGGGAATCTATCTTCCGTCTGAGGTTCATTCAGAGTCTTATCAACAATATATTGCAGCTTGTATAAGAAATATGTATGGGTTTGTGGCAGAGGAACATTGGAATGCTATTGCAAACGAGGTTTATGAGAAGGGAATTGCACAGGAAAGCGACATTTGTTCGCCCATTCACCGCTTATTACACTGTCTCATCACCAACACCATAAATCAACGCCAAGAAGGAGATAAATGTCCTACTGTGGATGTTTTCTTTTTATGGGCTCTTACCTCGACCAATACATATGTGGACTTACCATTTCATTTGGCCGACTTTCTTGCGGTTCGGGCAGCCAAAGATAGGCGTGGGTCTCCCTTATATGGAGGAATGCTAATCACACGGCTCGCATGTTCCTTAGGAGTACTTGAAAAACGCGAAGTTGTGATGTTTACTGTGGAGCCACAAAAGCCATTTTATGTCCTTCTTTACAAGCGAGCAAATATCGTTGTTGATCATGGGTTTGGAAATTTTGTCATTCCGGATGATATTCCCCGCCAGCGAGTTCCGAGCCGGGTAAGGCAGCGGGGCAGGGAACCTGCAGCAGACGAGCCACTAGTCGTACCCAAGGTTGATGAGATGCCCATGGACCCTTATAGTGTTACTAGGCGGAGGTTTGAGGATAACTTGGCAAGGAGTGGCAATTATACCAAGATGGGTATCGATTATCTTATGGAGCAGTTGCATTTTCCGCGGCCCACTCATTTTCCTCCTACATACCCATACGCACCAAGTTGGGACGAATTATGGAAGGAGCAACAAGGAGGTGTAGGAGGTAGTGGTGGAGGAGATGATGATGAGGAAGATTGAGAGTTTATCCTTTTGATTTCTTGGTTTTAAGACTTGTTTCTTTATCATTTTTCTTTTTATGTTTGTTTTGTTTTGTGGGGTTGTTTAAACACTATTTTCTTTCTGTTTTTGTTGTTGGACAAATGTTTCCTCCTTTTATTACTTTGCCTTTTTTTAGTTTCAGGGTATTATTTTAGAGTCCAAGTAAGGGTATTAGTTTCCAACGAAGGTTCTTTAGAGAGCACGATTAGGAGACGTCGAGGGAAGCAAGATTTGAGCATATTTTACGGGTGTTTATTTGAGTCATAGTGTGAGGAGTCACGACGTGGTGCTCTGATTTCGGGAAAAGTATAAATAGATCACCTTAACCTCCGAATTGGAACTTTTGGCTCTGGAGAATTTGACACTTTTGAAGGCAATACACTGGTTTTAAGGCTTGGAAGCAAGAATTTCATTCACAACCTTGGAAGGAGGAGCATTAAGGCAACTAAATTCTACACTTCAATTTTTCATTAGATTTTGCTAAGTCAAATACCTTGAATTTCATTTTTGTGATTTTGTTTGCTGAAATCATGAGCTAAATACTCATGACTTTCGTTTAGCCTAGGATGAATTAAGTATTTATGGTTGATTTTATGGTTTAGATTTAGATATTTGGTTATTTGTTGGTTTAGCTTATTAAAGAACCTCAAGTACTTTTGATAACTATTTTCTCTACTTATTGCTGAATTTGATTAAGTTAGTATGACCATCTTCCTTAGTTAAATTTGAATCTTATGATCTTGTGAATTGCAAAATTGTAGGTAACTAAAGAAACTAAATCCATTGCACTTCCATAAATCAACCATAACGACAAATAAATCCAAAGCTAAACGAAAGTCTCTTACTTACCTTGGTTAATTCATACTTGTTAATTTGCTTTAGTTAGTGTTAGCTTAATTAAGTGATAATTAGTTAGTTTGATAATTGAAGTATCTAGTCTTGCAAAACTAGGAATCCAAAACATTTTCTAATTTAATTAGTATTTAGTTAATAGTAGAATAAAGTTAGTTAAAACACCGTTCCTTGAGTTCGACAGTCGTTCTTACCATAGTTATACTATTGCACGATTAGGTACACTGCCTAGTGTGTTTAATATTCTAGTGAAGGAAATAGCTTTTATAAATTTAAAACTTGAATAAAAATATAAACACATTAAATAAACATCACTGGGTGTTACAATTCTCCCCCACTTGAATCAGACTTTGTCCTCGAAGTCTGACGCTGCGCATAACTCTGGGTAATGCTCCCGCATCTCTGCCTCGGGTTCCCAAGTCTACTCGGAACCTTTCCGATGCTATCAGTGAACCTTGACCAATGGTACCACCTTGTTGCACAAGGCCTTCGTCTTCCTATCAAAAATTACCAGTGACCTTTCAACATAGTTCATACGCTCATCACCCTATATACCGTCCAATGGAACCACTGCTGAATCATCAACTATACACTTCCAGAGCTGAGAAACGTTAAAGGTGTTGTGAATATGTCTAAGCTCCTCACACAGATTCAACTGATAGGCCACCCTTCCTACCCTGGCCACTACTCGAAACGGCCCAATAAATTAGGTCCCCAACTTGCCCCTCATCCTGAAGCGTGTTACAACCTTCTAGGGTGATACCTTCAGTAAAACCATATCGTTGACATGTACATCCAACTCAGATCGATGCTTGTCGGCATAACTCTTTTGCCGACTCTAAGCCGTATGTAATCTCTGCCTAATCTGCTAGATAAGCTCTAACATATTAAGGACCACATCGAACCTTCCCATAACCTTGTGACTGACCTCTCCCCAACATATTGGTGTACGAAACATCCTCCCGTAAAGAATCTCGGAAGGCGGCGCACCAATACTAGCATGATAGCTGTTATTGTAAGAAAATTTAGCCAGGGGAAGGTAGGCGTCCTAACTCCACCGAAATATATGACACATGCTCCTAACATATCCTCGAGTGTATGGATGCTCCGCTCGCTCTGGCCGTCTATGTGCGGTTAATAAGCAATGTTAAAGTGCGATCTCATACCATTTCCTCGTGGAACCTCTGCCAAAATCGTGAAGTAAATCGATCATCTCGATCCAGTGCAATGGAGACTGGAACACCATGTCGAGCGACAATCTCATGCACATAAACATCGACTAATTTCTCGAATGAGGAACTCTCCCGAATAGCCAAGAGGTGGGCACTCTTGGTCGGACGATCCATAATGACCCATACCACTTCAAATCCCTTAGCCATCTTGGGTAACTTGGTAATAAAATCCATGGCGATATGTTGTCATTTCCACATGGGAACCTCCAAAGCCTGTAGCTTTCCATGTGGCCTCTGGTGCTCGGACTTGACCATCTGACAGGTCAAGCACCTCTCCACATACCATACTATCTTTTTCTTCATGTATGGCCACCAATAGCTAAGTCTCAAATCCCGATACATTTTTATGGCTTCAGAGTGTATTGAGAATCTAGAGTCATGAGCCTCCTCCATCTCGGTCTGCTTGACCCCACCAAAATATAGAACCCAAACCCGACTGCACCGAGTCAACAACCCGTGACTATCGGTAGAAAGCCTGTCAATCTCACCCCTGATTATCTCCTGCTTCATATTCGCCTTCTTCACTCCCTCGGCCTGAGCCTCCCTGATCAAATCTAGAAGCGGTGAATCGATTGAAATGCTCATGCATAGCCCCCAACATAAGTATTGGCCGCTTTGCAGCTTAAAGTGTTAGCGACCACATTCTCTTTGCCAAGATGATGCAGAATCTCACAGTCATAATCCTTGACCACGTCAAACCACCTACACTGCCTCGTGTTTAGATTTGACTGAATTATGAGACATCTTAGACTCTTGTGATCCATGTAGATGGTACATCAGACCCTATATAGGTAGTGTCACCAAATCTTGAGGGAAAACACCATTTCCCCTAACTCCAGGTGGCTTTAGCTGCGTAGAAGCATACACAATAACCCTCCCTCGCTACGTGAGCACTGCCCCTAGACTGGTGGTAGAAGCATCATAATAAATAAAAAAGTCCTCCACGCCCTCCTGAAGGGTCAACACCGGGGCCTCACCCAATTTCCCTCTCAGTGTCTCGAATGCAGCCTGCTGCTCAGGCCTCCAACAAAAATCCACACCCTTCCTCGTCAAATGAGTGATACGTACAACAACCTTGTAGAAATCCTAAATAAACCTCCGATAATACCCTGCCAAACCAAGAAAACTCCTAATCTACGAAGGAGACTTCAGGACCTCCCACTGCATAATTGCCTCTATCTTGGCCGGGTCAACCATAATCCCGTTTTGGTTAATGTGGTGCCCCAAGAAATGGACCTCTCGTAACCAAAACTCACACTTCAAGAACTTAGAATAAAGCCTCTCACTCTTCAAAACTCCTAGCAGCACTCGAAGGTGCTCCTCATGCTGTTCCCTAGTCGTGGAATAGACCAGGATATGATCGATAAAAACAATGACCGAACGATCAAGCATCGGCCTGCATAACCGATTCAAAAAATCCATAAATGTCACTGATGCATTAGTGAGCCCAAACGACATCACCATGACCTCGTAATGACCAGAACAAATTCAGAATGTTGTCTTCTCCACGTCCTCCTCTCTGATTCTCATCTGATGATACACTGACCTCAAATCAATCTTGGAGAACCAAGATGCACCATGCAGCTGATCGAAGAGATCATCAATCTGTGGAAGTGGGTAACGGTTCTTCACCGTCAACTTGTTCAACTCCCGATAATATATACACATGTGATGAGACCCATCCTTCTTATTCACAAACACGATTGATGCTCCTTAAGGGGAATTGCTCGGTCTGATAAACTGCTTGCCTAACAACTTCTGAAGCTGAGAGGACAGCTCATGCATCCTTGGTGGTGTGAGCCGATATGACACCTTGGCAATCGGCATTGCACCGGGGTTTAGATCGATCCTGAACTCCACCTGCCTCATAGGAGGCACGGTGGGTAAATCCTTTGGGAATACATTTGGAAACTTTCTGACTACAGACACATCCGAAACCAAAACT